GCGATATTCAATGCATGGACAAATGGTAGATTTATAAATATTTGTAAAAAAGAGAGAGGGAAGCCAGGTCACGTCAGTGAGAAAGTGACTGAAGTCAAGATGCCAAGTCAGGATGGATTATATTTCAGAATCTTATTTGGATTTTGTCAAGAATCTCGAGATATACAGCAGGAACACCAGACCAGATACGGCAGCAATATTCAATGCACTGACAAGTGGTAGATTTATAAATATACAAGATGCATTAAGACAAGAAATCTTTTTGGTATGACACAGTGAACCAAATTACCTTGGAGTAGACATAGAAATTGATTCTTGAGGCCAAGAACCTGTAGACGGTTAACTTCTCTAAGCGCCATTTTTCTAGTTTAAATTTCATTTTTTTCTTCGTTAGGAGCATTTTGTAATGACAAAGTTGGAACGATTTGGAATGCGAAATGTGCCGATTATATTCCTCAAGACCCAAAAATACTGATACCAACTTCCCGGAGTCTCATATTTAAACCGAAAATGTCTATCTTTTGATTCAAGTGCATTGATTTCGACTTTACTTTAAATTCTAATTGGAAACGAGTAGCCTTTTCACTATTATATAAACTGAACTTTTTATTTACTCTACTCAAAAACTGACGCATGTCTTTCTTTTTGACTCATTGCTTCTGATTTGGCAGCTCGGCTTTAGGTATGTTCCAACCGTTATAAGGTTGCGTCCCTGCGTCTTTTCGATAAATACTTTCATGGTAATTGTTCGGATAATCTCTTCGCTCTGGTATCTGACGTTTTAAATTTAAGCGCAGTATTTGACTGGCGTCGAGGTCTCATCAATTTACAGTTCTCGCTTGTGGAACTCCCTTCTGGTTCCACGCTTTCCAGCCAACTTTAATCTGCAAAAATTTAAATGCAGTGTCAATTGCTATCTACTGTACTCCTGATTACTCTTTTCTCTTCCCGCTCATTATAAATGTTTCTGTTCCTAATTCTCCATCGCCCAGTAACCGCTTGTGACTTAGTGGCTTTAATGCCAGGCATGGGGTGATACCCAAAGAGATACTAGGAAAAACCCTCGGTGAGGAGTTTCGTCAACCCAGTTTCATTCACAAGGCTTGGGTCAAAACGTGGTATGGTTTTCTGGTGCCCCATGTTGCGATCGACCTCTCCAAGAAGTCTCCTGACAAATCGAACGAGGTGTGATTCGAACCCGGGACTCATGGTCAGAATTCGAACGTTCTAACCATGTGCCCATATTGCTATCAGGAGTATACTGTACTGTACTGATGCGGCATTCACCCTGGGCGGATTGAGCCGGCTTCTTCCTGTTATGAGAAGAAGATTCCTGGGATAAATTACAGAAGTAGGGTACCCAGGCCCACTCGGATAACGTTCTTGCTTGCCGCGGGGTTCCCACAGACGCAGAGACAGGAACGACCAGAAGCCGCCGGTTACCGATGCAGACGCTCCTTGGATTTTCACCAGAGCCCTTGTTAGCCGGCTTGTGTGTCAGACCTGTCCGCCTTGGGTGGCCCTACCAGGAACGAAGTTCCGGGCGGCATAGCTCTGACACTACCGTTTACACCCCCCCCCACCGACTGTGAGGTAAGGGTTGGACTTTGGGAGCTTACAGTACCAGGTGTTCCCAAGCGGTCCCCCATCTAAGTACTGACCTGGATCTACGATGCTTAACTTCGGTGATCGAACGAGAACCGGTGTTTTCAGTGTGATTTGACCGTATCAGGAGTATAATAGATAGCGATTGACATTGCATTTAATTTTTTGCAGATTATAGTTGGCTGGAATTCAAAAATGTAGGTGTCATCGTGAAGATTTCTTCCGAACACATACACAAAGTATTTATAGAAAAGGCACAGGGAAGCAACCTTATGGCAGTGGGAAAGTGTCTGAAGCTGAGCTGCCAGGTCAGGGCCGATAAAATTGCTGTTAAATTTTATTTTTACAATTTAATTTTCTTTTGAAGAATTGTATCTATTTAAAATTGGTTTTACCCATAAATGGCACCGACATTTTTGTCCATTTTTGTCGCATTTTTCTTCTTTTAAAACTAAAAGAAAAAATGCTTAATGTCGAAACTGGTCATTGTCTTCTCAAATTTTCAGGTGAACTGTATTATTTGCTTTCGGAATAATCTCCTCATCTTTGTTGTTATAATCACAGCATTTTGATCCTTGTCTCCACCGGGATTCATCAGGAGCTTGATAATCCGGGTTATTTTTTTTTTAAATTCCGAACTGACCCCTTTATTTAATGTACGGGCGGAGATAGTTTTTGTTCCATTATTCATATCTATCTATCTATCTATCTATCTATCTATCTATCTATCTATCTATCTCAGTATATATTAATTTGGTTCTATATCTATATAGATATGTATATCTATCTATCTATCTATCTATCTATCTATATATATATATATATATATATATATATATATATATATATATATATATATATACAGGGTCTCCATAAAGTTCGCGTGCACTTTAAACAATTTATAACTTTATTTGTATTTGCGATAGAAATAATCTGTAAAAAATTTTATAAAGTTAAACCTACCTAATTTTAAGTACAGTTAAAATAACCAATGTGATTTCAGGCATTACTGTAAATCAGTTGGCAAATATTTTCCACGAACTGCAAAATCGTATTACCCTTTGTATTGCTAATGATGGAGGACGTGTGCGAACTTAAATAAAATTTCAATAAAACCTTTAAAAAATATAGATTTAATTCTTTATAAACCTTTTACAAATTATTTCTATTGCAAATACAAATAAAGTTATAAATTTTGAAAGTTCACACGAACTTCATGGACACCCTTTATATATATATATATATATATATATATATATATATATATATATATATATATATATATATATATTATAATAATAAAAAGAAAGAACAATAAGATTTATAATCCGGTGTTCTTATTGATTTTTTTTTTTATTCATACAAAACAGTGCTCAATGTAAATATTATAAATTAACTGATTTAAAAATATGGTTTCTTTGCTATCAGTAATAACATTGTTTCAAAAACCAAAGCTAAAAACTTCAAATTTAATCATATAATTAAATTAAAAGCATTAGTTCCGTTTCATCTTCAAGCGAATATTGGAATAACTTATTTTTAAATTTACTGAGTTTCAAACGCACATATAAATTCATAATTTCTTGTTTCCAAGGATACAGAGAAATCCAATCCTTTGGACAGGGGCGGTAACGTGTTCATTTCTATTAACTTTTAATTTAATTATATAATTAAATTTGAAGTTTTTAATTTCGGTTTTTGAAACATGGTTATTACTGTGTAGCGAAGAAACCATATTTCAAATCAGCTAATTTATAACATTATATATATATATATATATATATATATATATATATATGGTGTCTCAAAAAATATGACATTATTTCTCAGGTGAATAATTTTGGCAATTCTTGTTAAAATAACCTAAAATTTTCACAGAATGCATAGAAACAGATCAAGACTTTATATTTAATGTTTTATTTTTGTTCTGTTTTCACGTTGAGCCATGGCGTTCACTCCCAAAGAGAAGTCATTCTGCGTCTTGGAATATACTCGCACAACAGTCACCCAAGACTGTGCAGCGTGCCTTCAATGCAAAATTTGGAAAAACTGCACCAAATGGCAAACAAATTTGGATTTGATACCAAAAATTTAAAGAGGAAGGCTGCTTATGAAGGCCTAAAGGATTTGCTAGCCCATCATCAACATCAACGTCTTTGGCAAGAGCTTAACTACCAACTTGACGTGTGCCGTGTCAAAGTCTGCGCCCATAATTAACACTTATAAAATCAGTCCCATAATAAACTTATGATGTTCGACATATAAGCTGTTCAATTTCATTGAGCTGGACTTTTCAAGATAGTTGCTTTTAAAATCATGTCAGTTTTTTGGAACACCTATATATATATATATATATATATATATATATATATATATATATATATATTGAACAATGAAAAATATTAAAAATTAAAATCTTCAGACACACTGGATTGTAGATTAATATTCTTTCGTTTTTTTTATTATTATTCCATTTAGATTCCTCGACTAGTTTCGACCAAAATGGCCATCATCAGGAGAAGAAATATTTCTGCTTGCTGGTAGCAGTGAACTACAGAAATGAATGTCTTGATGGAGAAATTGAAATTTTGTCTGTAGTTTTCATTTGTTTTTTTATTTTTTTATCTTTTTAACATGAATCTTTATTGCTTGTGCTGGTCAAACAGTCTCTTTTAAGTTGTTATTTGAGATAAGAGCTGGATAGATCTATGCTTCTCTGAATTCCTTTGGTCAGTTTGACAGTTTTATTGGTCCTGGAGAGGGGATGTGTCTCTGTTAAGTGTTTGTGTTCCCATATATATATATATATATATATATATATATATATATATAGGAATATTTCTGTAATGTAAGCAAACAGTTTGTTGAAATTGGTGGGTGGGGAGGAAACACCTAACCGATTGCTCTACCCACAACTACGGGGATAATAGGGAGGGAGGGGGAAAGAAACGAGTGGTAAAAAAAAAAAACTGCCTCGGAAACCACAGCAATATATTATTAAATATACATATTTGTCATCACCGGTAGCACGACTCAGAGTTTCCTGCACAACGCAATCTTCAGGTGATGAATTAAGAATGGCTGTTACATAAGTACAATTTTGTTTAATACATCTGTTTAAAGCAATGATGAGGCAGTCTATATTTTATTCAGGTCGTGTTGTTTTTTTTTTAAATTTTGTATTTAAGATAAACGCAACTAAAAAAAAAATATAAATAAAAAAAAAACACATGCGTCCTCACAAATTATTTACCTCAAGGAAAATATGTATAATTATTCTTCTGTCACGATAGATAGATATTATATTTCAGAATGGATTTTTATTAGACAGATAGATTTTTATATCACTTTATTGGTTACTTCGAGGGATCCTTGACAAGAGCAATTTCGCTTGAAAGCACGAATATTGTCTTTCCCCCATCGACCGTTCTTCGTGGCCATGTCGGTTAGGCGCATCGGGTTAAATGCTGTCTCTCTTTTCCTGCAATTTTTTCTTTAATAAGATTTCTCAAACTTTCAGGTCGATAAGCGAAAATAAATAAATTTACTGTTTAATAAATACGAGTTTCCACTCAAAATAACGTTCACTAATTGTTAGAGACTAGCAGCATGGCCCGGCGTTGCCCGGGCTTGATTCAAAAATCGTACGACTCATACTGTCGTGCTGATGTTGCTACATGCCTTACTTCTTGCCTATCTCACACTACGAATTTTTTTCTAAGCTCTATACTAAACATTAAATCTGTTACGAAAAAAGAACTAAACAAAATGAACACAAAACGTTCAGCTTTAAAAAAGGACTCGTAACTGGAAAAACCGAATGAAAAAAGAATGTTAACAACAAATACTTTTTCACACCCAACCCAGTTCTGCAGAATCAGAATCAACGTTGAGTTTAAGCAAGCGAATGAGCTAATTAGAGTAAAGTGCCATGCAGATTTAAATTTTAAATCCCACTTGTGACGAATGCAGCTATCGATTATTTTGCATGCTAGCATGCTAGTTAACATTCGTGTCAGTCATCTGTTGGCTCTCACGCTGTCCAATAGAATCTTCCTGCCTATTCGTGGCAGCCAGCTATTGGCTCTCACTCTGGTCAGTAGAAAATGGCCGCAAACTACATGAAAACTGCCGTAGAAGCATAAAAAAATCGATTATTTCCACTATCGATGGGAGTTGGGAAATGCAAAGTCGGTGTTGGCCTTCCCGCTAACTTGGAGCATGTGCCTGTAAATTTTGGTGCAAATCCGTCGAAAATTGTGGCCGTGCATTCGTTACACACACACACACACACGCACACACACACACACACACACATCCTGCCATTTATAGACAGAGATATAGATAGATAGATAATATATGTGTGTATAAATAAATAAAAGGAAAAACAAAATGAAAGCCTTTTTTATACCAACGCCTTTCGATCCTTGAGAAACAATATACAGGCAATTGTGGACATTTTATTTGGGAACCTGTATATATAAACAGGAGTGGTACAGGCAATTGATTATTTTTTTCAGCATCTTTAACGATGGATCGTATGTAAGTGTTCCACGTGAGGTCTGGGTTGAGTTTAAGTCCCAAGAGGCGCTCAAGGAATGGGTCCACCGTGGAGGAATACACGTTCATCGCAGTTGGTCAAACTTCTAATATACACTCAATATAAGGCTCAAGAGCCACTCGAGGTAAAGGGTTACTGTGTGGTGTTACATAAGCATAAGAGGATGCAAGAAGTGCAGTTTATGGGGTTATATAGGAAAGATCACGGTTAACCCTAGACATGAAGAGAAGAATCTTATAGTGATCGGGAAAACATCATGTGGAGAGTTTGTTCCACAAAGTAGCAGTTCTCGGGAACAAGCTCTCCGAATGAAACTTCATTCTTACTAATGGAATATAGAGGGAATGAAAATGATACATCCTCATGTAAGTGGCATGACGGGTCTTAAATGTTAAGGGCATCAATAGCGGAATGTTGCTCGTCAGAACACTTACTATAGAAATAGAGATACAGCAGTCAGAAGCTTGCTACGGTTCGTCTGCGGGAAATACGTTGCAGGGTAGAAAGTAATTCACCATCCTCAAGGCCGCTTAGACGCTTTTATACACACACACACACATATATATATATAAATGATGTTGTTTTATGAACAATATATATATATATATATATATATATATATATGAAAATAAACCGCCTATATATATGTGTGTATATTAAGAAATGGACAAAATCCGACAACTTATTTATTAAAGACATTTTTATGTTTAACGTTCTTTTTTATAGATACAAGTATTTAAGTAAATGCTCTGTTTATAATAAACAGTATTAAATAACAGTTACCGGCCTGAATGTCCGAGAAATTTTCATAAAAAATATTCGTCCTTTGACAGGATTCGAACCTGCATTCTATACGGAAGCGTCATTTACGCTGACGTGCCTTAACCGACTCGGCCACAACGGAGCGTTCGGTAGACAAGGTCGAATTTACTGCTTATAAACTTCAATCTTCTATGAATCTTGTATATTCATAACTGCTCTGGCGTATCAAATGTAAACAAATGACGTCATATATTAAGAAATGGACAAAGTCCGACATTTTATTTATTAAAGACATTTTTATGTTTAACGTTCTTTTTTATATATTTTTTTTTATAGTATTTAAAAATTTCTCGGACATTCAGGCCGGTAAATGTTATTTAATACTGTTTATTATAAACAGAGCATTTACTTAAATACT